TGGATGCGGTTTTGGGGGGAATCGGGGTGGTTTTAGGTAATTTTAAAGCAGGGGGGAGGGCAGGGTGTGACCCCGGGTCCTGGGATTTGGGGATACGGGGGACGGGATTTGGGGACAGTGGGGTCAGGATGTGACCTCTGGGAAAGGGGAGAGCAGGGGTGGGATGTGGCCCCATCTGCTGGGATTTTGGGATGTGGCCATGTCCCCACGGAAAAGGGACACGAGAGCTGTGACGTGGCCGTGTCCCCAGGGATGGGGGGGGGGACACCAGGGTCAGGATGTGACCGTGACCCCCTGGGAGAGGGGACATGGGGGTCAGGATGTGGCCCCGTCTGCTGCGATTTGGGGACATCAGGTTTGGGATGAGGCCATGTCCCCACGGAAGAGGGACACGAGGGCTGTGACGTGGCCGTGTCCCCAGGGAAAAGGGGACACCAGGGGCAGTGTGAGGCCACATCTCATGGACATGGGGACCACGACGTGGCTGTGTCCTGGGGAACAGGGACACAGGGGGTCAGGATGTGGCTCTGTCCTGGGATTTGGGGACACCAGGGTCACGATGTGACCTTTGACCCCTGGGAAAGGGGACAGAGGGGTCAGGATGAGGCCGTGTCCCTGGGGAAGGGGGACAGGAGGGCTGTGACGTGGCCATGTCCTTGGGGAAAAGGGGACACTGTGCTTCAGGATGTGGCCTTGACCTCCGGGAAAGGGGACACCAGTGTCAGGATGTGGCAGTGTCTCATGGACAGTGGGACCATGACGTGGCCGTGTCCCAGGGGTTTGGGGACACCCGGGTCAGGTTGTGGCCTCATGTTTTGGAAAAAGGGGACACCGGGGGTCATGATGTGACCTTGACCCCTGGGAAAAGGGACACCAGCGTCGGGATGTGGCCCTGTCCTGGGATATGGGGACACCAGGTTTGGGATGAGGCCACATCTCATGGACATTGGGACCATGACGTGGCCGTGTCCCGGGGAATGGGGACACCGGGGTCAGGGTGAGGCCACATCTCGTGGACATGGTGGCATCCCCGGGGGGGATGGGGACGGCAAGGTCATGACGTGACCTTGACCCCAGGGGAAAGGGGGCACTGGGGTCAGGATGAAGCTGTGTCCCCGGGGAAAAGGGACGTGAGCTCTGTGACATGGCCATGTCCCCCGGGATTTGGGGACACCAGGGTCA